TAACTTATTCTGCATATGAATTAAAAGCAGCAGTCCACTAGCTTCAGATGAGTTTAAAAAATAAAATGCTTGGATTTTCAGAATTTGAATAAAAAAATGTCTCCTCCCCTTCTTGTCAGCAAAACATATTCACAAATGTTAAATATCTTCCACTTTAATTTAATTCTACGGCATCCCAAAACATGATGAATTTTAATTAGGAAACAGGTAATTAGGGTAAGATAATTTTTATTTTAATGTAAACATTTTTATTGGTAACAAATACTGTATGAAAATACATCAAGAAATATAATACTAATATTTTGGATTGTTTAATAATACATCAATATATCACAGTTATCAGAAAATACAAATTCTATTGATAAAATAGTTTTATCAAATGAAGATTAGAATTGAAATTTCTACACCCTATTATACTTCACGATATAAACTGCAATACAAGAGTTTTAAATATGTTTTCTCAACTTATCTTAAATTAGTTATTCCATGTAACTAAAATAAATTATTTATCTAATGTTACCTCCTATAAAGGGTCATATTGCTTTTTTGAAAACAATTGTATTTTATATAAAGAGAAAAATATAGTTTCTTTTTTCTTGACAACAATTTTGTTTATTAAAACAATAATATCTTAAAAAATAATTTAAACAGTAATATTTTTTTTTATTCTACATCAACAATAATCCTAGTTAAATTAAAAATAGACAAAGACGAATAACTATAGAGCATCTGTATTTTAATCAGCTTACAGGAATCATTAAAATGTAGAATCCAGTTATTAATTAAATATATGTATTTATCATCTGATATTACAGCAAAACCTCAATCACCCGAGGTCTAATGGGCAACAAAAATTGTTGATACTTGGGAAAATTTTTGATATGTTGGGAAGACAACAAAAAAATCTCAAATAACAAAGTAGTCTGTCTACTCAATAACATCAGCAACTAAAATGTAATCCACATCTATAGCTTAGGGAATGTCAAAATGTTTTGTAAAAATGATTAATAAGAAACCTAAGTCAAGTTATTGCTTTGAGAATAACTGGTTGTTGAGATGGAATAACAGAAAATGTGTCTCAGTAATTCAAGAAAACAAAAAACAAACCTTATCATCTAAAGTCGCATAGAATGTAAGCTGCATTGAAAACAAAAATATGGAACATTAGAACAACCCTATTTTTTCATAGGATCAGAGGTTTATAATAAAAACCTAGATATAAATTATTATTTGTTTATATTTAAATTAAAACAAGTAATAAAAGGTAATTCCTTTTTTAAGAATCACAATATAAATCTTTGATAAGCTCTGATAATCCAGGTGTTACAGCATATTATAAGGAAATTTATATTTTATCTTTACTTTCCATTTCTTCTAAAATAATTTATAATTCTTCACATCATAATGATAATAATCAAATCATAACTTTATTGAAAAATATTGGAACCTATAGGGTAGTCATTTTTAAAGTGCAATTGTCAGACAACTATACAGACCACAAGTAAAAGTAATAAATGTTTTCTAAACAAAATGTGCAAAGGAGAAAAATGGTCAATTTTAGAATTCTTTGTTATCTTCTTATCAGAGTTATCTCTCTAAAATTATTAACATCACAAAAGGGATAGAAATCAACAGCCTCATTTAAATTATTCCAACTCCAAATCAGAGAAAATAGGTGCTTACAAACCTTTCGCCCCCAAAAACTAAAAGAAAAAGTAAAACAAATTGGGTGAAATAGTGAACTTTTTTCAAGATGAGGGAGAACAAAGTTTAGATGTCACATTTCAGGTATTTATAAACGGGTCACTTAAAAGATTATGTCACATGAGCTTATGAACCATCTTTCAGTTAAGTACTACACCGATGTGGAAGAATTTCATAAATCTATTATTGAATATTAAAAAATCAATGCAGCTAAAAGGGAGAAAAGTTAAGGAAATAGACCTATGAGTTCAGCAAATTTAATCCAGTCATGACCAAGAAAAAAAGGTTAGAAAGACAAGTAAAATTTCAATGTTATTAAAATGTTTTAAGAAACTGATCAGTTCAGCAATCCAAGAACAGAGATCAAATGAGATGTATTTTCAAAAAAAATTTAAGTCAAATGCTAAGAATGTAAAAAATTAGGGCGTATCTCTAGAGACTGTTCATAAAAAAAGACTACTAGTGCGAATGTTGGAGCTGCGGAAAATGTGATCAGAAAATCTTGTGAAACAAAGAACTCTAAAAAAAAAAGGAGCCCTGGTAATATCATTTTGATCAAACATGGAAACAATCCAATGACTTCAAGGTATATTAAAGAGAAGTAATATTTATGACAGTTGGATAACTTTTTCGCAGCAAAAGATAAGGCTGATATAAGGATGTTTAATAAAGGTTGAATAATGACCATCAATTGATGAAAATTATGTGTCTTATGCCTAAGGAAAATTGCAAGCAAATATACCTATTGATAGATTAATGATAAAAAAAATGGTACTATTTGTCTAGCAGACCGTCATGAAACCTCACTTCTTATCTATCTTATCTAACGTCATGTCACATAACCTCCCTCTTCTTATCTCGCCAAACCTTTGAGTTATTGTTGCATTGTTTAGTTTTCAGTTATTCCCTTATTACGTTCACTTATTAAATTCTTTACTTTTGGCCCATTTGTGTTTATTTTTCATTATTTTTAGTTTTTGGCCCATTTGTTTTTATTTTACATTTTTTTTTTAGTTTGTGGCCCCTTTGTGTTTATTTTTCATTTTTTCCCCGTTTATTTTCATCATATTGTGGATCTTCTTAGAATATAGGATTTGCCGTCTTCAGAAGAACAGGCAATTCAATATTTTCTAAATGTTGGGATACTTGCTGACGTGAAATTGTGTGAACGAGGTGATCGAATGAAGAGGACCTGTTCCTCGCTATTTTAAATAGCATAAAACAATTTTGCCTTCCAAAATAAATAAGACAAAAGGAAGTGAATAAATAAGTGAAAATAATTTGTACATATGTTGTTTATAGTGTTGATATTTTTTCTTTTCTATGTAAATATGTTCTTTTAAATGTGTTTTTTTATTATTTCATTTTAATGTTTTATATGTACATATCTTCTTAAAGTGTTTTTTTATTATTTCATTAATATATGTGTCGTCAAATAAAAGTATTTTTTTTTTTGTTATTACAATTGTTTTTGTATCTGTTTACACTTTCAATAATACGAATTTAATACAATAATATGAAGATATGAAGTAGAAGGCTTATCACTGCGTTATGGGAGTTATCAGTGTTCAGGTTATCAACATTGGCAGATAGCAGTCAAAGCTAGACAAAAAGTACCAAAAAAATTAATTAATTTGAGTGATAATTGCCAAGCTTATGACTTATGAGGCAAGAAGAGCCATTCATTATCTTCATTAATTAGTTTTAAGAAATTAATCTTGGATTCAAATTGTCAACTAAAAGCCTTAGATCTATAGAAGAAAAAATTAAAGATATATATCTTGGATTATCCATTATTCATGAAATTAGATGATATTTGGGGTTGTGTTGTCAAGATTAATCAGGAAAAATGGTATATTCACTTGGAGTGAATTATTGCAATGCAACAGTCTATTTAAGAAAAGTTAAATAAGATTTTAGCAATTTATGATAGATGCAAATCATACCCTAATAGATACTATGGCCACCGTGTTAGCTGGATGGTAAGACATAAAGTTGATATACAAGTAAAGTGGTGAAGTTCATTAGTAAGATCATTGAAATTGTGAAACATTATGATTCTTCAAAATTAAAACTAATAGTGATCATTTGGAGTTTAAACCAACTGTATACAATAATGTTTGGAATTCCAACAGTAATGGTAACAAAATGACAGGTAATAATTCATCTCAACAGCAATGCAGATAAAAGTTGACCAATTGTGAGATAGTTCGACTAATTCAAGAATATAACTTATACATAAAATAATGACCAACAGAGCAGGTTAAATATGGAGTGAGAAAAGCATAAGAGAAGAAGGCTAGATCCTTCGAGAGAATTCAAGAATTAAACCAAATTATGAACAATTTCGATCAGGTTGGAAAATGATATCAATGGATTCACATGTTTATTGGAAACTAATGTAATATTAGTATTTGTGCTTTAGCAGTTGTGTTGTACAGAATTATCGAGTGATAGAAGTAGTAATGGTTCTGTTATTTGTTAAATGAATAAGATAAAATATAAAGTTAAATTAAATTTATCTAAATAGATCTTTGGTGAAAAAAACTTATTTAAAAAAAATATTTTTTGGTATGACCATCTTAGTCCTACTTTTATACATATAGTTGGGTAACATTAAATAATAACAGATTGGTTTTAAAAGACTAGGCTGAAAATAACTAATGGAACATAATGTTTAACTTATAAATATTACTTATATAAATAAAATAGATAATTAAATGATCTGGAAATGCTATTAGAAGAAACTTAGAACAAAGAACAATCTTATGATATAATAGATGAGAAAAAATAATGAAGTAGCACTGAAAGACAATTTCCTAAATATTTCCTCTTCCTTTACAAAATAAGATGTATAGAGAGTGGCCTAAAGTTTAGGGATGGATTAGGAATGGTAACTAAAGCTTGAGCCACAACAAACACAATTAAAACTGCTCATAAGACTCATATATCAGAAAATTTTTTTGGAAAAGTTGACAGAATATGGTCTACTCATTTACCTCAATACATCAGAAGTATCTTTCTTGTTTTAAAGAGTTTTATAAAAGTTCTTTCAGTTTCATTCAATATTTAGAAATAAAAGTAGATGAATCTCCAAAATAAAAATGTATCTGAAATTGCAAATCAATTTCCATCTATAAACAGGTTTAAAAGTTATTACTGTTTCTTTCCTTATTAGAACAAAATTATGAAGAATTTGCAATATTTTTTTATAACATACTAGCTATGCTAAAGAAATATTTTTTCTTTAAGAAACATATAAATAAATATTTAAAATAAAAATCTTCTTTGGTTAGTAGGAATAGAAGAATGGAATTACATTAGATTTCATATCAAACTGAAACAGTTTCAATTTTCCTAAATTAAAAACTGCTTCATAAAACATAGGAATGGAATTTTCTGATGATAAACCAAAACTGGACATATCAAAGGTCATGGCTTTTCTTGAACCAGCCTAAAGAAAATCCATATCGCCAAGTTTGCAGTTCCATGTTCTGGCGTGTTTGTTTTTCATTTTTAAAATCATAAGAGGCATGGATTCTGGAAAAACATAATATATATTTTTAACACTCAAAATATGATGGACATAAATAAACTAACTAAAAACTAATGTTGTAAAAAAAGGCTCGAGCTCGAGTTCTTGAATGCTTAGCTCTAGAGCTCTTGAACCTTCAGGGCTCAAGCTGAAGGCTCATAAGGGTCGAACTGAGATCAATTTATCTTTAGAAAAATAAAACTGAAATTACTGTAGCTTTGTACATATTAATAAAAATATATACATAATTTTTCCTGTTGGTAATAACAATGTGAATATATTTCTGAAATATAATGGGAATATATTATCTTTTGTTGGTAGTAACAATGCGAATATATTTCTGTAATATAATGTGAATAAATAGATAAAAAAAAAAACAGGTAAGGCTCAAACTGAAACTTGAACGTCGAGCTCGTAGGATGCAAGCCTTGGCTGAGTCGAGAAAGCTCGAGCCTTTTGAGCTCAAGCCTTGTAGCCTTCTAACCGAGCTCTTTTACAACAATATGTTGATGAGCCTTCTTTTAATTAATTAATCTAGTAGGAGTACACCAACGTAAAGGTGACGACCCACAGTTAATAGCGAAAGAAACCAAATCTGACAGCATGTTTTATTCATGTAATAAAACACATGTTTTATTCACGTAATAAAACATATGTTTTATTCACGTAATAAAACATATTGCCGACTTATTGCAAACAGTCATCAAGGGAAATTTCATGACTTTAAATCACTAAAGCATTTTGGTAATTTTTCCCCTTGTAAAAATTAGAAAACTTGTAACTACGACATATAAGTAATAGGTTTTGCATTATTTTACTGTGGTTTTTATTAATAATTAAGATCGAAATTCACAAGAACGTTCTTAAAGATCAGCACCATCAAAACAAATAATTAGTGTATTTATACAATAAACTGACGTCTATACTTTTATATAAATGGGATGCACAGAAGAGAACTATCGACCTAAACAATTGAGTTTATTTCAGTTAAAACTATAATTCAAGTAACCGCCAAAGATGTAATACTACTAACCAACATCATGTAGAACAGTTTACTCTATTATAAAAACTGTAAAACAATTTAAAAAGTCCATTAATAAACATATGGGGAAAAACAAGTAAGGTTCAAACCACGACTTGAGCCTTTTTAGCTGAATCCTTATAGCCTTTTCACCGAACTCTTTTACAACACTACTAAAAACTGTGTATTATTTAATATTTAATGGCATTCGTTATTCTGAAACAAAAGAATAACAAGCTGATATATATCATCATGTACATAAAAAGAGGTTGCTAGTTTTTCAATTTCATTTCAAATATGATTTATAATCTCAAATAATTTGTTTTACTGATTGTCTTATTTTTTAAGAAGGTGTGTATCTAGTTTTTAAGTTACAAAACTTTGGTAATTTTTCTTAAATATGAGCTGTAAGTACATAAATATATTTTTAAAAAAATATTAAAATTTTACATGTACTATCAGCTTCATCACTCAAAGATTAATAGTCATTTTAAAATTTGAAATCAATTAAACCTCACAAATTACTAATACTGAAGTAGGTTAATCTCAATACTGAAAGGCGCAGAAGAGGAAAGGAAAAGAATACAAATGGAGCAGTTATAAATAATTATCAAAGTAATTAAAAACACCAGAAATATCATAATAGGATAAAAAAAGAATTCAATGATTTTTAATAGTGTCTGGATTCTACTTTATGAAGCATGAGAGAATGAATGAAATTTTGATATCTTGAAACTGTTTTATTGAGCAATCTAACATTCTGTCAAAATAAAGGACAACAGTTAAATAAAAAATAAGATTAAAATATTAATTAAATAGTTGTTAGAGAAGTAGTTGATAGGGGGTTCGGTAAAATTTAATAATATATATTAAAATAGTATTTTATTGGATACACCGACATTTCGACCCACGCTGCGGGTTTTCATTAGGGTTACAAAAGATACAAATTATAAATATAAAGTGGTACAAGGTAAATGATAAAATGAATGAATTATCAATAGGCATTAAATAAATACAAGTTGTCTGATAAAGAAATTAAAGAACTTCTAATACTAATACCTAATACTATTTTAATATACAGTATTAAATTTGACCGCACTCCCGACCAACTCCTCAAATTATAATCACGATCAACCATCTCCACACCAATATAAATATTTTTTAGTACTGGTAAAAAATTGGTATTATTTGTACTGATTTTGTAGAAATATTCAACACTAAACTATTTAAATTAGTATAAAAATGTTAGTAAAGATATCTTACATAAATAAAACTTGTGAATAAGAAGCATATCCAGACATTAAATGCCACCAACCATGTAGCTGAGTAAATGGATCAAATGCTCCTGGAATATTTAATCTTAATAATCTGAAAAAAAAATAAATATGATCACTAATATAAAAACCAACTATTTAAAATATATTAGTCGTGGTATTAAAATAATTTTATTAATATCAACTGAATCTGTTGCAACAGCCCTCAGCAAATTAAAGTTTTAAGTGATACAAGATCAACATCTGTTAGTGAGTATATAATTAAGTTGATGACAATTCAACCCGACAAGAACTGGAGAAGGGTTATTAAAGCTGCAAGTGGTACCAGAGACCAGTTTTCCTGTACATGATACTATATCAGTCACATACATTTTCTACCGCCAAATGAAAATATTCTCAGTTTACCTATAAACTGGGGTGATTATATCAATCACTTTTAACTGATATTTTGTCTCCAGTATCAACAATTAATTGATCAAGAACTTTTTAATATAGTAGGGGGACATCAAAACACCATTTTGTCATGATTCATATTTTTTTTTTTAAACTGGTATTTTATTTCTACTTCATTGCACACTCCCAGTACATATAATAAATAAATATTTAAACACAACATTCTGCAATAAATATTTTAGATGCATATGATGGTAGGGATTTTTGTGTACTACAGTCAGAGATAGGCAAATGCTACTGTGAGTAGCGAGTACTGAGTATTTTATTCAAATCAAATCACTATTGGGAATTCAATAACAACTTCAGTTAATCCTTTGACATCAACTGAAGTAGTAATTAAATTATTCGGTATTCTAAAAAGGTCAGTATTTGAGTAAAATACTTAGTACTCAGTACTCGGAGAAGCATTTTTTCCCATCTCTGACAACAGCTATTCTCACAAAAATGTATCTAAATCCACAATTGAAATTGCAACAAATACCAGGAAAAAGTAATATAGACATACGGACTTTTATATAATGGTTTATAATTTGATTATCACAGTTAAATTAAATAAAATAACTTCATACAACAAGGGTGGGACACATAACATGTCATTTTTATGAGTAACATAAAAATTAATAAGAAGAAACAATATAAAAGTTTATTTAAAAATGCTGGTTTCACTTGCAACAGTTCTCCATAAGATAGAACAGGTCTGTTCATTTCTCTTTCCGTAAAATAACGTCTACGTAAATTAGAAAAACTATTTTTCTATAGAAAATTTAAGAAAGGTAAAAATTTAAGTATTCCTAAACATTTACCAAATCAAATACCAGCCAATTCAATTTTTTTATTTGATCAGATCATTTTCTAAACAAATATAAAGTGACCAGCGATCATCCCGTTTTGGCGGAACAGTCCTGATTTTTAACAATATGTCCCGCGTTCTGCGGCATTTTGAAAAAATCCCAATTTATGAAAAGAATGCACATTAAGCCAGTTAAGCTTGGAAAGGGCAGGAGAATGGGGAGAGGATATATGGTTTTCGGTGGCCATGTAGCTATTTCGCCAGGATATGAGTTTTATATTATTTTTGATGATTATTTAATGTAAAACCTTATTAATAACTAATAATTGTTAAGAACTGATTATCGAGAACTCCTTTGTAAAATATGCAATTGTTGATCAGTTGTAAGAATTCGACTACAAATGTATGGACTTTATCTTTCATAAACAATCTGGAATTTATCTTTTTGATCAGGTATCGTTATTAAAAAAATATATTGATAAGGAAAAGGTTAAACTTTGGGTATAAGCAAATTAACTTCATTTACTACTTGATTACCAAAATATCACATTCACAAGGTTTTTAAAAATTTGAAAAAGAGCAGCATTATTGTGTACTAACTGCTAGGATACAACATTCAAGTTTATGTTTTATTAGTGAAGTCATAAATTAGAAGTTAAATACATCATCAAATTATTAGTCTCAAAAATACGCCTTTAGAATTAAATTCTCAATCTTATTTCAGCTGAATACAATGTGTCACATGATTAACATTTTCACATTATCGATATGTAAAATTAATTATTGTAACAACAAATTCGGACTATTGTATCAGGACTTAATAAACTAAATTTTTAGTGTTTTTAGTGTATGTCAAAGATAGTGTTTCATAATTTTGATTAATCAACGCCTTTAAAGAATCTGTTTAATTTCTCATCTTTTCCTTTATGATCCGATAATTAAAATCTAGTTGCATCTTGTGAGATGTGTAGAAAAATATGTTTTAATAAATTAATAATTTATATTGAAATTCAATTCTTATTGATAAGGATATAGGAGTTTTGCCAGGAATCAGTATCTTTATGAGTGTCTTGTATTACAAAGACTTAATTTCTTTTGGAAGGCATGCATTATGAAATATGGAATTTATAAATAATCATTAAGAGAGATTGAATTACAAAATATTAAGTGGCAATTAAAAAAATAAAATACCTTAAATTCTGACAGAAAATTTTATCTAAATTCCAAAGTATAAATCCAAATAAATAGATTGCAGCAGAAATTAGAAATATTTTTTTGCAAGTTTTACATTCATTGATTTTAAGTAATCGTAAATCCATTCCAACAGTCGTGAACACAAGAACTCCGTAAGAGATATGCTGAAAAAGTGGTTGAGGCCAAAGCAGATATATAGCAGTGAAAATTACAGCAAACAGAGAAAGGAAGATAAATAATGGTTGATTTGAAAACATCTTTTTACTGAAAGAGGATTTCTGTACTTCTGACCTGCAACAAAAGTTGTAATAAGGAAAGTGTAAAACAAGATCAGTATTTTGTGTTTTATATGTAAAAAACATACAAGTAATAAATTAAAAAACAGGTTCCCCAAATCATAGGGAGTTCATCAAATAGTTGCATCCCATACAATAAAGTCATATGAAAAGCCCATGAGCCCAGACCTACAACTAAAGGTAAAATGAATCAAAATAATGTAATCAGAAAAATATAAATTTTTAAATAATAAAAACATATGCTAATTTAAAATATTTTATTATTAGTATTTAAATATATAAATGTTATGGCATTACATCATATTACTATTTACATAAATATCTTATTAAAACTGAAATACATACATACATACATTATAATACATCATCATTATCATTAAAAAAAAAGTGTGCAAACTAGTAATAAATCAGAGCTCTACACTTTATTTGAGAAAAAAATCAGTTAGAGGGCAGATTAAAATAATTCTTCATAAAGAGATCAATTTCGAAAAGGAATGTAAATAAATGCACAAAATTGTTTGTAATTTCATAAAATTCAGCTGAAAGAAAATATACATTATTTAAAAATTATCTAATGTAAATTGTCATACTTCTAGCTACGGGATAAAATTGATGCATTTAAAAAAAAATATTTTGATATAGAATATATTCCTATTAATTACTAGCATTTTTAAAAAATAAATAAATAAAGGAACTAATTGAATATCTCTTCATTAAGAAAACTTTTCTAGAATTATTTTTTTGAAATTACACAGACAGTAATAATAAATAACTTATTAAATATCACAGAAATGACTTAGTATTAGAATGTTGAGATTCTTAACCATTATTCTACAAAATATTATTCATTATGAACCATTCTGATCCTTAATTTTTGTTGATATTTGTCCTTAATAGTAATTTTATTATTTTAATATATAACCAATACATATGTAAAATATTCAACTGAAATTTTATAATGAGATTTGATATTAATGTTTGATAGTTACATTATAAATTATTTTATTCATACTTTGATAATTTGAAAATCATAAAAATTTCATCCTAGGACTATAAAAAGAAAAAGTAATGTAATTATAAAGTAACAATTATATATTGAAAGCATAAAATAAATAACATAATTTAAAAAAAAAATATTATTTTACATGATCGAACTTATATATTTTATTTTATAAGGCAAAATTAGAGAAGAAAAAAAGTTAGATAACTAATTTATGAAAAAAATATAGATTATGACTATAAATATTAATAAAATGATGCTTTCAGAATGAAGGTCACTAAGTCAATATTCAGCTATTCAGCACTTCATATAGTTAATAGTTATTCGTCAGCTAGAGTATGTGCTTAAGTATTGTAAAGATATGATTTATTGATTAATGCACAATATTTATTAACAAAAAATTAAAATGGTGGAAATGAAATAGTACACATAATTGTATCAACATAGTTTTAATTAAATAAGTAGCTTTGGTTTATTGAGAAAAGTCATCAAGTAATATTTTGGAAAATTAAATCAAGTCATTTGATCAATTTTTCCTCTATAATTGAAAACATCAGGGACTTATAACTAACTATTTCTAACATATAATGAACTTTTTATTATTTTGAAATCGTAAATGAACTTTTACAAGGATAAATATCATTGAAATTCACAAATAAATAATTTGAAGTATAGCTCTATCAAAAGTGAACTTCATGAATTTTTCCAATATGCTAACGATATTTATAAGAATAAGCAATTAAAAACAAATGGATCAGAAGACATTACCAAATTAGCATAGTATGTATTTTTACATATGTATAGTTTTATTTTAAAATATTAAGTTTAAAATCAGACAGATTGTCAATCATTGTAAATCCAATCTTACATCATATTTTAAAAGTTTTGATTATTAACACCTTGAAACATACAATTTTATAGATATAATCAGAATATATCATTTGAAATCTAGCTAATAACTTCAACTTACTTAATATGGATGAATGTAAATAAATAAACCTCCAATCTAATTCCTGCTTGATTACTTCCATAATGCCCCAGAGAGGAAGTATAATCATTATTAGATTAGTAATAGTATTGGCTAAAAAAATAAAACATTCAGGAATAGAATAAATCAACATAAAACTATAAAATGTTTCAATAAATAAAAAAAAATCTAGGCTGTTTTATTGCTTCTTGGAGTTATTTAGAAAACAAAATAAATTACACTTACTCATTTCTGCTATGTAATAACTGTAAACATAATTTTCTTCACACCAATCAATAGTGGCAGTAGGTTCACCCCAATATCCATTGTTAACAGGAGGCATATCGCATTAATTGTAGAAAATATGTTTGAAATTAACAAATATTGTTAAAACGCAGTAATTTGAAGCATGAATTGCTCATCCCAAAACATACCTAACTACAAAATGAACTTGATAGTGGCCCGTTCAGATAACAGGTTACAGGCTTATCAAACAAGTCCTATGGAAAGTTGCGTTGAATTTTTAATAAGGTTTCTGTACTCTGGTTATAAATAAACAAGAAGTTTAAGTCGCCGGTTCTTTGTTGACTGACATTGGAGGGGATGCATTAGGATGGTGGGGAGCTATATTGACATGAAATAATTAGATGCTAAATTATTACGCCCTAGAGAGGGGGGGGGGAGGGGTGGTAGAGCAGGCAGCAGGTCTACAAAATAAAAGAAATACATGTTTTTCTTTATCTAGACGGAACCTGTTTTTTTTTTTAAATTAATTTCTTCTTTTTGGGTTTGTTTTATTAATCGTATTTATACACTTTAACTAACAAGAGTAAATTTTTAAATGTAAATTTACTTAAATGGTTTGTTTTGGTAAGTGTGGCTCATAAAAAGGTTTTTAGAAGCTAGAAAAAAAATTCCCCAAATAATCTTCTTAAGCCACTTGTTAAATTAGAAATATTTACTCAGAAATATATTGCCTAAAATAATGTTGATTTTTTGTTAGGAAGGAAATGCATTGCGATCGGCAAAAATTTGTAATGGGATTGTTAAATGGAAATAAGCATTTTAAGGTTCCCTGTGTCCAAGTAATCAAGTTTTGCAAAATAGTATGAATGTTTTTGTATTTGAACAGTCTACCTTAAAAACGAAAAGTTGTATGAAACTGAAATTATGGTTTTAGGGTTCATGTAAGCCTGGCATGTTACAGCAGGTATAGGTGCGTTTAGACATTTCAAAAACTACACATGAGAACACAGGCGGATGTACGAGGGGGGGGGAGACTTTCGGGCTGAAGCCTCCACAAAACGGTAAAATATAACCATGTTTTATAGAAAAAAAATATTAAAAACTACCTCTTAAAGTATTATTGTTCGTGTAATTACATTTAATAGGGCTTCAAGAATCACTTAAACACCTTTTGATATGGTTAGTTCATTTCTTTCTTTCTTTTTTTTCAAATTAATTATCGTTATGTATATTAAAAAAAATCTGTCCGGCTGAAGCCCCCCAAATTAAATCCTGGATCCGCTAGTGCATGAGAAACACTATTATCTAACTTAATTAACAGCGATATTAGTGCTAAACCAAACTATTTATTTTATTTCTCTTCTTACTGGCAGCAGATAGAAAACATCAAAAATAAGAAACAAAGACACTAAAATAAAGAAAAAAATATGTATATATTTGTTTTTTTCACGGAAGAGGTCTACGACAATGGCTAAATGTTAATTATTCCAATCAATGGATTGGCCGTGCAGAACCAGTGGCTTGGCCTGCACGCTCTCCAGACTTGACACCACTGGATTTTTTTATTTGGGATGACATTAAACAAAAAGTTTATGCAAGTCCGGTCAATGACTTTAATTCCTTACGAAGGGGATAATTGAATCTTGTGAAACAATAACACATATCCAGTGCCGTTCTGCCACTGCTGTTGTTGAAGAAAGATGCCGAGCCTGTCTTAATGTTCAAGGAAATCACTTTGAACAACATTTAATATGAATTTAATGATCACGTTTAATTAATAAAGTAGTTGGGACAAATAAATAAGTTTTATTTACTTTATATAACGTAATAATTCATAACAATGAAAATCTTTCAGTGTGAATATCCCCTAAACAAAGCGTTTGCGGCCATACCTTCATAGGAATTTTTTTTCTTGTTTCGAGGCCCTTAATTCATATTTCAAGTTTGGCCACTTAACCCAGAAACACCCTGTATATTAAAACTTATACAGGTTTGAAGGCAATGTAGCCCTATTTAAATAAAAAATAAATGATGGTTGAATAAATGACCAGAAAATGATTTTTCTTTTTTTTTTTCAGAGAAATATGTCATAGCTGCAGCATATTTTGTAAACTAGAATAACAACTGACAAAAAACACCTGTCTTCTCGAGATTTTTAGGATACAGAGCGACCGAATAAAGTTTTTCTCTTTGCTTCGAAAAACCAATGAGCTGCAATTACAAGATATAATATGGTCATAGGCGCCGACTACAAGGGGATCGTGGGACTTGAGCTCCTCTCCTGACTCATCGCTGCTGTGGTGGGGACTCAGCCCCATTTGCTATAGCATGAACTTAATGAACTTATCGATCATGTACAAAAATTTAAGCAAAATTAATATTTTCAAAGGGAAGTGTAAAGTTATATTTGATTAATTATTTGGATTCATAAACTCAACTAAACTGTTAAAGGAACCATATATTGAAACACTGTACTGTTTTAGTTTAAAGTATTTTGTGTGACATCACTTTTTTAAGTGTTTGAAGAAGAGCTTGAAACAACTTAATATCTTCTTGTAATGGTAAATTTTCATAAAGGCAGATATTATATATTACACATAGATATATAGGATACATTCCAAATAATATCTCACCCTCCTATTCCCCTCACCTCGTGATCCTATAGTTTGGCCCTTCAATAATTTTCATAAGTCGGCGCCTATGATTATAGTCTGGGTGCCCAGAAGGGGTATGCATGGCGCAATTTGTGCCAACAAAATTTTGAGGGAGCACATTTTTATTGATTTTTGGAGGGAGGAGGGGATACTTGCAGACTGCAAACAAGGTTGAAAAACGAACGAAATAAAAGAGAAATTTGAATTGCAGTTAGGAAGTGATTATGATGACTTTAGTCAGAGATTGAGTTTTTCTAATGATGTTGATTATAAGGTTGCGGTAGATAGATCAAATTAAATAGATTAAATTAATTGTAATAGTTCCATACTTTTTATTAATATTATTTTTTATTTGATATTAATTTTTAGAAATTGTAATTTTAAATTTCAATTTTCTAAGAAATTAAATTTTCGCCATGAATTAAATTAATATTGATTTAACATAAGAAGTACATTGAATAAGGACTAAAAAAGTTTTATTTAAGACGAACACGTGATTTTCATTCGAAAACTATGCTCAATGAATTTTGTCCTCCTAGATCGGCTACCGGCCCCATTGTTGGGCGGTTTGAACCGGCTTTGCTAGACAAGAGAATATTTAAGTTTATGCTTTGATCACACGCTCGGCCATCACGCGCTCGATATTTTAGTCACTGTCAAAATGTGCTTCCTCGGACGACTAGACCAGGGGTGCCTATTCCCCACAAAGTCCATGGCCCAAGAACCAATCCCAAGATATTTTATTGTTAACTTTTCTTAAAAACAGAGAAAGAGGAGGTAAAATAAAAAAAAAATAGAAGATCATATACGATTACACTTGCTGCGTTATGTTCCATGCTTTCCCATTGTCCCTTAGTATGAAACTTTTCATTCCGAAAATGCATTACCCCGCCTAAATGTCCCCTCATAAATTCAAAAACCCACCAAAATATGCTCTCTTTAAAATTTTGATGGCACAACTTGCGCCATCAAACCTCTTTCTGGGTAGTGCCGAACTAGACATACGGCGACCCCGGACAATAACGTCATCCCCTCTCTCCCTAAAAAAACTAAATATATTTTTTAAGCTGTTATATATTATGTAATATTTGAATTTTATTGCATTCGATATTCCTCTAATATAGTTGCTTTATTGATAGGCAAAATTAATTATTTTAATGATTCAAGCTTTGTATTTATTTTTTAATTTCTAACAAGGGGCGAGCGCCCATTTTCTAACAATTGGTGTTCCGGGACAATTACTCTCGTTGTCCCGCATTGGGCCTGCACTGGTTAAGAAGTAACTGTTAAGTAAATTAATAATAATAGTGAAAACATTGTTGTCTGTAGATTATATAATTGGGAAGTTAGTTGGGGTTGCAGTCAGAGATAACACAAATAAATATAAAAGATATTTTATTAAAATTTTAATATTAATATTTTTTATTTTTTATAAAAATCTTTTATTTTTGTTTGTCTTCTCTGACTGTAATCCCAACTAACTTCTTAACCAGATAATAATAATAAGACGGTTGGAAATATATAATCTCCAAAGTTCAAATGTAAATAAATGCAAATTATGTACAATTTTAGATGCTGTAGGATTTTGAAATATGTAATAATAGAAGAAAACAATATCAATGCAGAGAAAGCCAAAATACCCACTGGCGATTGATGCCTCTTTGTACTGAAGATGATTTTTAAATTTCTAGAATTTTTTTGATCCGCAAAAGTCACCATTTATAAGAGAATAATGTGGCCGATGGTGACATATGGGAAACAGTATTAGAAGAGAGCTACGACTAAAAGAGAGCGAGTTGAACTTGTTTAAAAAAAGAAAGCTTCTCAGAAAGATCTTCGGCTCGATAAAATATCATGTAAATTGTATGATCGGTGAAAATAGAGTTTGGAGAACTATTTGGCGAACCTATTATTGTGGCCACCATAAAAAAATAAAAACCACGGTAACCAGTACACGATCAAAGTATGATTGCCGGATGAGGAGCATCGTGACACAACTAGTCTCCGATTCACCGGATTCGATTGTCATTGCTAGAAATATTTCTGAGAACTCTAATGTAGTAGTAATAACAATTTTTATGTACTAAAGAGAAGAAGAAACCAGGGATTGAATTTGAGGATTATTTTCCGGAGATCCAATTCAAAGCATTTATTTTTATAGTTATAATAATTATTATTTTTAATTTCATCTATTAATCTATAACTATCAAAGAACGAAAGGTAATCAGAAAATAGCCTAATGCACTAGCGGATCCAGGATTTAATTTTTTTTTGGGAGGGGCTTCAGCCAGAAACCTTTTTTTTCATATATATATATATATATATATATATATATATATATATATATATATATATATATATATATATATATATAAAACGATAATTAATTTGAAAAAAAAAGAAAGAATCTAACTACCTATATGACATGGTGTTTAAGTGATTCTTGAAGTCCTATTAAATGTAATTACACGAACAATAATACTTTAAGAGATAGCTTTTTATTTTTCTATAATATTTTTTTCTATAAAACATGGTTATATTTTACCATTTGGGAAGGAGCTTCAGGAACTTGGAACTTGGAACTTGCCAGATGACTGTTAATTGCATGCGTCACCACCAAATAACTACATTTTAGTCTGCAAAGTGCTGAACTTATCGATAGCATCGTTTCGCATTATTTACTGATGAATCCGATGAAGTCGATGAGCTCAGTGCTGAGTTCAGCAACTTGTTCTATTTCCAGAAAGTAACAGTAGTGTAGCTTCTGGTAAACAATGATAACCTTCCCATAACACTACCCTTTTCTGATTACAGGTCTATTTGGTAAAAGATATTTTTGTTAATGCATTTTTATTATCTCGAGAAAGCAGAAAGCCGTATATATTAAATTACAAAATGAATTGTTTTTTACGTCTGAACTGCGTCAAAAATATTAGTTCAGTGCTCTCCAATAATTCAATTCTGGTTTGCCACTATGCTGCAAGGAAAGGCACCAGAGAAAAAATGAGGAGAAAAAAAGTAAAAGTTGAGATAAAGAAAGTTGGGTTCATTCCACATAATCTACGTGATAAAGGGCAAGTATTTCTATTTAAATATTGATACTTATTAGTTTTTAGTCTGATGATATAATTTTTAAATAATTTAAGTAATAGAAAAATATGTTTAATTTCAAGAATCGTTAATTTTGTTGAGTAAGTTGGGGATTCATAGATTCCAGTGTGTTTAAATAAAAAAAAAAAAATGTTAAATTCAAAGCATACTACCACATCGCCAATAGTATCCTCAGTTGATGTGAAGTGGATAAAAAGACCAAGATGCACATCTATAAATCTATAAGTGTAGATGCCTATTTTCACCTATGGTGGAGAAAGCTGGACTATGTTGGACAAACATTACAGTCGCATAACAGAAGCGAAAATGCAGTTCCTGCATAGATTGGTGGGAAAAACTAGGAGGGATCGCATTTTAATCAAATTTATAAGAGAATAGCCTGAACTCAAAAACGACTTTGGAGAACAGGCAACTAAAGTGGTTTGGACATGTCTGCCGCATAAACGAGGACATAGACCCTATAAAGTTATTAGAGGTTTGAAATAAAGGTATTTGAGGGAAGAAACCACGAGGGCTTCCCAGAGTTTCATATCAGGAGTTCATGCCGAAGATCGGAGGTAGAATGGGCAAAGCCTTCAATCAAATAAAGTGGTCAAGCAGAGGCCAGGAAGAGTGACTGCACTGGAAAGAGGCTCCTCGACGCTAGGAATGGCATTGTGAGGAAGACGAAGAAGAAGAATTGTTAAATTAAAAATTGGTTGATGTCAAAATTTAGTAGAATCCCAATAATACTTACTCCCTTTTAAGAATCTCTGGTCTGTCATATAATCCCTTCTAGGTCTCTCAGAATAAGTAATTCTCCTATCATTCTAGTAGAAAGTTTTAAATCAAATTAATTTTTACAGATCAACAGGGCCTTTTATATCCAAGAGATTGTCTGATGATACGAGGAATTGGCCTCTTGATGATGTTTGGGTTCAAAGGTATCATAAATGGAGAATTTATAATTTTCAAGAAGCTGTTGAATCTCATCGAGAAACTCATCATCCTCAAATTTACAATATACCTGATGCTCCTCTTAATGCTTTTATTGAGCTAGACATGAAGGGTGCTAAAAAAGTAGGTTTTTTAATTATATTTGTTTAGACTTATATTAAGCAATTTTGGTAATTCCTTAAATAATGTTTGTAGAATAAATTTGTGCACAGTTTCACTCGTGTTGCAAGAACACCATATCACTTTGATAATGGAGAGGATAGAACCACCTTAGTGTTTTGCAAAACTCCTGAGGCCCGCGCTGAAGCTGAAGGTGCTGGTGCAACTCTTATTGGGGATATTGATATCATAAAAAAGATTGAGGTTTGATTTAAAAAAAAAAAGTGTGATTGATAATACTAATGTCTTAGTGGTATTAGTTATTGAATGTTTTTCTGTTCAGAAAGGTGACATTGTACTACCAGATTTTCAACACATCTTAGCCCATCCAAATATTCTACCCGAGCTGGTAAGCTTAAGAGGTCTCATGAAAAAGAAATTTCCCAATGTTAAGTCAGGTATATTACAATAAATAATTTCTATAATAACAATGTTAGTTAAATGGTGAGCTTTACTTCTGTTTGTTTTTGCTCTTTCATTAGGTACTCTTGGAACCAATATTGGAGAAATGGTTACTACTTTTCGCAAAGGAATACAATATACTGCTCTTCAAGATATTGGTGAACCTGATTATGGCTTTATCGATGCGCAGATTGGAAATGTTAGTATTGCTTGCTAATTTTCCACTGAATATTTGAAAAAAATTCTGTAAAATTAAGGACCATTTTTCTGTATTGTTGAACCATGATATAACAAAATGCTGATGTTTCATTTAATTGAGCGTTCATAATACAATTATTCTATTTCAGGTATAAGAATTTGGTAATGATATTGTTATCCTAAATTCACATTTTTTATTCTCTGTGTAATATATGGAACTTTTAGTTTTATTAAATTTTCTAAGTGCCTCATTCAGATTAATGTTGTCATTCAAATGACCATTTGATTTGTTATGGGTGATAGATAGTTAGGACGCAGTCAGTTTTTAAGATTTTTGTTGCTAACGTTTCAACCCAATGTGGGTCATCTTTAGGGCATGTTACCAGCATTGAAGTGCTGATATTGACAAATTTGATTAAATTAGGCTATAATATTTACATTGCAATGTTTCTGCCTATCCAATTTAGCAGTTATCAAACAAATTCTAAGCATTTACAACATAATATTGTAGGCATTGTCAAATCTAATTGATTTTCATCATAAAATTCACTTATTAAGGTTTCCTTCTTTTCATTTTAGCTATTATCATATAAATGAACTCCAAGTTAGCAAACTTAATTCAGAAACAAATGAAACTCGACAATATATTTATTCCTGTACTCACATACAGTCACTGTTACAGTAGATAAGGATACAATAGCAAATGTAATCATTTTCTACAACTTTTCAGAAATGTCACTCTTTCTAAAACTTTGATGTGAGGAATTATATTATTTCCATGCTAACTATTTATTAAGCCCCCATAAAAAAATAAGGTTATTGTAAATTAAAATAGTTCTGTTACCTTATTTGCATATTTAATGCTCAATCCATGCTATCATTCAAGTGGAGTTAGAGGAATTGTATATTTAATGAAGCAGTGAAGCTAGAAGAACGACTTGGCATACCACCTCTCAGTGCAGACTTTTCATTCTGATTAGGGGGAAAGGGAGTGACGGATCCCTCTTTCTCTCCAAAAAAGTCTCAGAAGTTTATATTATTTATTAAAATTCTGAGTGAAAATTAACACAATCAACTTGTGGGCAGGGTGGCCGAATGGGCTAAAGCGTGTGCACAGCACCGCCGTTGTCCGGCTACCTGACATATGAATCTAATGATATAAAAATAGTCACAAGTTCGCGTCCTGGTGCCCAGGGAGTCTTTTAAATCCCCGCCCACACCCCCAGGTCCGGGAAAACCCCGTATAGACTTAACGGCGAGGAAGGGGAGGACCCAAAAAAAAAAATTTAATTCTTTAAAACAAACAATATATTACTAATTAGGAAAAAAGACTTATGGGTATATTTGAGAAAATGGAAAATGAAATTATGGGTGTATTTGAAAATATGTTAACAAAATAGCTGAATATATTACATATTTTTATTTAAAGGTTTGAGGCAGTGAGATGAACTCTAAATTATCTGAAGCTTCAAATTTGCTGCAGGAAATGTGATGAAATTGTTACATAATAATGGAAGGGTGAACAATCATCAAATTGTATATGTTACTACATTTAATTATCTTTGAATATAAACTAAAATTTCAATAAAAGGAACATGGGACATGCAAAAATAATTGCATACCTATGTCTAAACTTTACCTTAGCCAATTATTACTTTTTCTATTTTCATAATTGATTTTAGCCTGCATATTTTATTCATTCATGAAGATTAATTGGTATTCATTTTGATTTTCCTTTTGTTCTTCGAAATATTCGGTGGCGAAACAATATTCTTGTCTCCTCTCTATTTTTATTGGGTGGGGTAATCAATTGGCAAATTGGGGCATTCGCCTCCTACCCCCCTTTCCCTGCCCCCCTCTCCGAAGTCTGCGTCTCTGCACCCTTATATAACCCAATTTTGTTCTGCATTGAGACCCTTTTGAGCAATTGCCCTTGCTATGTTTCGTTGTGCATTGTGAACTTGTAAAAAATAAAACAAAAACATGTTACGAAAAAAGTTGATTATTGAGCTGGTTTGCATCAATTGTTTTAAGCATTCATGTCATTCTTTCTAATATGGTGTTACTAATATAATCCTTCAATTTATAGTTGAATATGGAAACCAGTCATTTAGAAGAAAATTTCAAATGTTTGCTTGAAGATATCAACGTTATGAGACCTAAAAGAACAGGAGCTTTTATCACCAGGTCATTACAAATATGTGTATATTTTATATCTGTATACTTACATTGAATTGAGGTTATTTGCTCATTTTGATTTTTCAGAGTTTTCTTGACTTCTGCTCCATCGATAGAGAGGCTAAAAGTTGGTCTTGAGCCTTATCTGGCTGATGATTTTGTAAAAGATGCTTATGAAAGTGATAGTGATGATGAAGTAGCAGCTAAAGCTAATTAATGAATGTTAACATTAAATATAAATAAATAATGTGTTGTTTTTATATTGTTTACTATTTTGTATAGTGAATACTGAGTACTAACCCTTCAATCATTGTTGAAACCAGACCTAGGCAAAAATTATTTTAATTATTATTTTAAAATACCAAGTATTTTGTGTTTTTCAATTACAGTGTATTTTAATTACAAAGTATTTTGTATTTTAATTACAAAAAAGAAAATATAAATGGGTCAATCCATTTTAAATCATCCAGAACATTTTGTTCATATTGTTGATTTTCATAAGTTTTTGTTCTGGAAAACCATAGTTAAAAGAAATTTAAGGCTCACAGTTTTTTCTCGGTGGCCACTTTAAATTTGCTTTTCAACTGAAAACATGTTTTCGGAAAATGTAACTAGTAATTTTGTAGATGTCAAACCAAAATATAAATATGAAATATACTGAAATAATGTAGAGTACTTTTCTACATTTCTGTATATCAATACATAGGGAGCATGGTGGCTGAGCGGGCTAATGCGTGATGGCAACCTTGTAACTGAAGTTTAAAGAAAAAAATAATTGTGATTTCATGTCCTAGTGCCGGGAGAAGCTTTCAACTCTGTCATTGATCACCCGCCCTCACCTCTTTGCCCCGGGAATACTCTGTATAGCCTAAAAAGGGAGGAAGGGGAGAAAAAAAAAAAATAAAGTAAAATAAAAAATTTCCATTAGTACATCATCTAAAAAGACAGAAAAGTGGTTTAAAAAAGTCTAATGAAAGTAGGCTTAAAATGAGATTGCTGTTTTAGCATATAGCTTATATATTTATTTTTTTGTTTTATTATCAAAAGATATTATTTTCATTGGCAACAATGCGTTTTCTAAATATAAATGACATTCTGTTATGTTCAGATCATTAAATATTTCAGTGATTTTGGTCAAATGGTTGCAATTAAGTCTATCAATTAATTACTCATATTAGTTGAAGATGCATTTTTCTCAGTTCAATCCTCTTACCATCATGTCTTTTCACTCTTAATATGTATTTTTTTTTCCACTAGGGATATATGCATTTCAGATACATTAATGTTAGTGTCATCTGCTTTTCGTCTCATATTGAAATGTGTCCGAATGCTTCATGAAAATGTTTAAAGTAGTATTTAAATTGCCTAAGTTATGTTAAGAATTTGTTCATTTTGTAATGAATGATTATTAATTATTTATACATAATATGCGTTATGGTTGTCACATATAGTAATAAAAATCACAAAGAGCTCCAAGAATTTCTCTTTTATAACTTTCATGTTTTATTATCTTTATGTATAACAACAAGCTGAAGAAAAAAGTAATTACAAGTAAACTGTATATGCGTCAGTGATAGATAAGTGTTAAGTGACATTAATGGACTGTATAGTAACAAGATGGAAAAATTATCTCATGGGATGGTATATATACTTTCTAAATCATCATGTTTTATCAATTGGAAAAAATGTTGCAGTTCAGTTTCATTCTACTGATGGCTTTTTTATCTGCAAAGGTGATTCCTCAAGATGTAAGTTTCCTTTTGAAAATGCTTGTATTATTATAAATAAGATTTTCATTATAAATGTATTATAATTTACTCGGTAAAGCCCTCTTCTTAATGTTATTAGACATAATATATATGTCACTCCCGTCAATAATAATACTAGAATACACTCTTCTGATATTTAATGTTCTAGATTTTGATGTATGTCTTTGAAAATTTGATATTGACCAGGTATGCTTTATTCTTATTATTATTAATGGGTTTTAATATTAATCTTACTGATAAATTATGGCTGATTCGATATATTTGTTAGCTGGCAAATAAATATAATTTTGGTTGAAGATCTCCTGAGACATGTTCCTTAGAGGTTTCTCAGTATTAACTAAAGTAAGATAAGAGAATATATGCTTCAATAAAATCATTTACTCACTAGAAAAACGTTGTTAATCAACATAAATTTATGGATGTTTATGATTGATACAAAAACTAATTTATTCTTCAACTTTGTATTAATTTACCAACCTTAAATTTACCCCATACCAACCATAACATACAATAATCTTTAATATTATATTTTAAACAGAAAATTATGGGAGAGTTTTATAAAGTTTATAGTGTATGTTTATGTTTATCGTAAGCTTGTATTGTTATCTTTATAATAATTATTGTGGAGTTAATGTTTAATGTGGTTCATAATCAAGGTATATAATTTACAAAAGTTATGTTTGATTTATTTTAAAATTGTTATTGTTGTCAACCAAAATTATTTTTATGTCTATACAAAGGAACTCTATAAGATAGATTTTTGTAAAATAATACTTTCAGTGATCATTGATTATTTAGAATTTTAAGGTTATCCAAAAAAATTGTTCAGTTGTATGCAAAGTGCCCGATGAGGATTGGTATGACTGATACTGGTACAATTGGCTTGGTGGCTCTTCAGATAACAATGATGAAAATGATGTTATCAATTGTACAATTATTTGCACTATATGCAAATAATACCCGCAATACCCATTCCCGGTCCTCAGATCTACATATAATGGCCCACCGAACCGCTGCTTTCGATAAATCATTTATTATTCGATCCTCTTCCCTATGGAACTCCATCCCTCCCCACATTCGTCAATCCGAAACCCTTCCTACCTTTAAATCCCAACTGTTTAATCATTTCTTATCCATCCAGTCCTCATCATAAAATTGTAAATAGTTACTACTGTAAATATGTATATAAATTATTAGATCGTTCTTTATTATTTTTACTTCATGTTTATTTTCAATTTTGTATTTTTATTATTAACTGATGTAAATTAGAAAGTAACTTATAATTTCTCTAAATATTTTTTATTTTATTTTTTTTTACTACTTAATCAAATTATACTCTTGTTTATGTATGTCTGAGGCTCCTTAGCCGACATTTTTGTTTCTCTGTATTATTCTAAAGGGACTCGTCCCAGAATAAATAAAGCATTATTATTATTATTATTCCTTCTACTCCTTTGCCAAATACAACTACAACTACAACTACACCTACAACTACAACTATCCCTACACCTACAACTACAACTACTACAACACAAGCTTAAATCCAAGAGTTTCGTTATTATTCTGATGAAATATATCATAGTTGATTATATCATCATTTGATTATTATCTATATGCAATGAATTGTTGAGTGATTATTGTTTTATTTTTAATAAAAAATGTATCTATCTATCTATATTTCATGATTGATAAATACACAACTTTAAATACATTGATGTGTACTGATGAACTCTATAGTTTCAAAGCTGTTTTATTATTATTATTTAATGTTATAACTTTCCAAATTATCACTTTTGATGAATCATTATTAGACTATAACAAGAAAGCTACCTATCTTAAAAAATTAAATGGGAATAACTATATGTTTTTTTTTTAAACTGAAATGCTGGTTTCATCAAGAGCAATTTGAACAATTAAGGATAGTAGGTACATTTTTAACACCTATGAAGTAGCTTGTATAATTTGTTATTTTATCTTGGAGAATTAAAAGAAAAACAATCGAGATTCTGATCAAGATGTGGTCCAAACCATATTCTGCTACGTGGAAGACTATAGTTCCTTTTGAATAATTTTTACATAGAATTGAAATTACTAAGTCGTCCTTCCTTTATCCTCTTTTTGTCTCTTTGTTCTTTTAAAACTGATTCTTTGTTCTTCAACATTTGTTTTTAGATATTTTCACGATTGCAGCCAATCTCTATATATTTATGAAAAAGGAGTATCATTTTCTTAAGAAATAACATTAAATAAAATTTTCAATTCTCTGAACAGGTTTTAAAATCAAAAATTACTTTTTTTTCCAACAAATCATACAATAGTAGTTTCTTGAAAACTGGACTCCACAGTTCTTAATGTGATTTCTTAGTAAATCCATATGAACTTTGTTAATATATATATATAGACAAGGATATATTAATGGCTTCAATTTTTTCTTAGGAATCTATTTGGGATAAAAGAATAAAAACCATATTAACCATAACTGTGTAAATGTTGGAGAAATGTTGCAAAAGAATTTATTGAAACAGGTTAATAGTGTTTTATTAAAACTAATTACTAGTAGTACTACTTGTGTTTATTATAACATTTTTTTTAAGCTGTTACATGGGAGGATATGTTTGAAAATAGTTTTAACAACTGAATTTTTGTTCATGTCTATTTTATCTTTCATATTATTTTTTAAAGTTACTATTTTATTTGTTGGTTTATATACAAATTTATATTCTGGTACATCATCATTTTTTGGAAGTTCTGTTTAGGCTTTGTGATAAATTATTTATATAAGTACATTTTTTGTATTTTAAATTACCGGTGACTCCAATATTTCTGCTCTTTTTTTCTTTTACTCTATTCATACCATTGTTCTTATTCTTTTCTAAACTGGCATTCCAAAATTGTTTAATGGTATTAATCGGGTAAAAGTTATTTAGAAATAATTCATATATATATATATATATATATATATATATAATATATATATATATATATATATATATATATATATATATATAATTTTTATTATTGTTTATTTTTGGTTTATCAGTTATTTTTATAGCTTTATTTATAATTTTTTTAATAACATTCATTTTCATATGTTTAGGATGATTGGAAAAATAATTGAGTATAATATTACTTATATTTTCTTTTTTTGTCCATTCTGTAATTATTTATCCATTTTCTCTATTTATTTTATGTCCAAAAAATGTCCGAATTTTATGTTTCTATTCCTTTGGCAAAATTAATACTTTTATTGTAGTTATTTAGTATACTAAAAAAAAGTTTCTATTTTATCTTTTTCAATTATACATAACATGCCATCTAAATATTTTAGACATAATTTTTGTTTAACGTTTGAATCCTTTTTTACATCTGTTAATAATTTATTCATAAAAATACTTGATAGGTAAATCAAGAGAACAACTCCCATTTGCATTCCTTTTATACTTTTATATTTCTTATTATTAAAACTAAAAAAAACAAAACATTTTCAACA